GCGCAGAGGCCCGGAAGGCGCCGCGGCAGTTGGAGGCTGCCCGTTACCCGCCGAGTGACAGCGCGGCCCGGCACGGCCCGGGGGGGGCGGCGCCCGGGTGTCGGTGTCCTGCGCGGTCCGTCGGGCTGGTCACCGCAACACACGTGTCACGCAGCCCGTCCCGGGCGAGCAGGTCGCTGTCCGAGCAGGGGATGCACGTCTCTGTGTATGCCTACAGGAGAAAAAGGTCTTCCCTCCAGTTGTTTGCAGCTAGTGAAATGGGAGCTAATACTTGTGCTTGGTCTGGAAGAGACCCCCGAGCTGAACTGCTGCCGTCACTTCTGCTCACCACCACAGCACTGACATACTCCAGACTCCTCGCCTCACCTGTTCAAAGGCCTTAAGTGACATGCTTAAAAATCATGAATTTTTCCAACAAAGAGTTCTGAATTATTTTGTGTATCCTCTAACTTTTGAACCTTTAGGGTTTCATTTTTCAATTTTTTTTTTATACAACCACAAAGGCTAACGAAATATTGTTTTCTTTCTAACTTGAAAGTAGTTTTTTCACACCCCTGGACTCCAGGAAAGCAACAAATATTGTGAGACTTGCAATAAAATCAGGAGAGCTGCCAACAGTGGTTACGACTATAATAACTGCTCTGGGAAAGAAGTAGATACCACTTTTTGTGTGCCCTAAACTTAAAGGTTTTTTAGCTTTACTGCTGTTCAAAGGGCTTATGTTTACATTTAAGAGCATAGTTTCTCATTTCAAAAGGAAAGGAAATAAAATATTCTTCATTTTTTCTCATCATAAGGAAGCAAATATTCTCATCAAAACTGTATTCATAAATGTATTGTGTTGGTCATGTTTGAAATATATGGAGACACCAAATTATTTCCTTTTCTGAAGTAAGCATTAGCAGCTGTTAAGACTAGGCTGAAAACACCAAAATATGGCCAAAGGCATTTGATAAAGCATGCACCTCACCGCCCCTGCTTAATTCAACTAATAAAACCCAAGGTGACAAACCAGATGACAAAGTGAACAGAAGTCAGATGTGACAGCATTTCAAACCCCCTAACCCACGGGTAAAACCACAGTTGGTAGTAATGTATCCAGTTTTAGGTCTTGCATTTTCAAGACAGACATGGACCAGAGGGAGAATCAAGAGGAGAACAGCAGAAATGATTAGAGGGTCTAGGCAAGTTGACCTGTGAAGAAGGGTTGACAGAACTGGATTGGTTTTGTTTAGAGAAGACTGAGGGGTGACATGATCGTAATCATCAAATACATGAAAGGTTACTGAAGAGAGGAAGGTTATAAACTGTTCTCCATGTCCACTGGACATAGGACGACTAGTAATGGGCTTAAATTTAAATGCGACTTAGATTAGAAATTAAAACAGGAGGAGGACAGTCAAGCACTGGGACAGGCTGGCTAGGAAAGGTGTGGAATCTCCAGCACTGGAGAGTTTTACAAGCAGGTTACACAAACTCTGAAGGCCAAGGCACGATTTGAGATGCAGCTGGCAAGGGACATGAAAAGCAATATAAAGGGATCCTACAAGTATGTCAAAATATGACATACAATACGAGAACTAGAAAACAGAGTCTATGGAACAGAGCTAAGGTTTTATTGATTTGTGTCTGTTAGCTATCCCAGAGATCCTCACTGCTCTAGCCATGGTGGATGCATCTAATCCGTATTCACCCAATACATGAAGGAATTAAACCAAAACCAGAATTAATACAAACAAAACAAAGTAAAATCCATTCTTATCACATCAAATGAACCTATCCGGTTGATCAAAACATATTAAAGAAATAATTTCTCATAACTGCCTAACGCTATAGAAAGGTAGGAGACCGTTAGCTAGCAAACCCAACAAGGTACTAACAATTTCAGTGCCCATTAATATAGTTATATTCCAGCCACATGAGTGATAAGTAGCATCAAACTTCTCTCATTTTGAAATTAATAGATTTCGACTACACTTTGTCTGAGTTACAACTGTTAATAAACAGCCATGTTTTTGTACTTCTCCACACTGAGCTAAGGAAAACATCCCAATACAATTCACAACCCCTCCCCCCCCCCCCCCCCCACACAAAC